CAACTCAGCATTAAACACAGTGGAGGTTTTTATGAATATAGAATCACAGAATGGCCTGGGTTGAAAAGGACCGCAATGATCATCTCATTCCAACCTCCTGCTTTGTGCAGGGTCACCAACCACCAGACCAGGCTGCCCAGAGCCACATCCAGCCTGGCCTTGAATGCCTCCAGGGATGGGGCATCCACAGGCTCATATAGAAGCTCATTTGCAATGAATTATTCTTAAAACAGTTGAGTGGTTTTCCATTGTTGTAGAGAATTGTTTGAATGAAAAGTAGTATTTTGTAGAAGAACTACCTGAAATGAAGTTACAGAGGCCTAATTGTGTGAATTGCCTGCAGTGATGTTGTACTGTACAGTGCCTTAAGATTTAGCATTGGAATTGCTTTCATTCATAGGAGATCACTGTTGATGACCTCCTTCAGATAAATGCTATTTCATGCAAACTGACAACTGGAATTCTGTGGTAATGTGTGGTTCCATGTTCTTCTAGGTATGTAATATGAAAACAAAGTAATTACAGTGATCTTTTTTTTGTTTTGTTTTCTTTTGTTTTAATAGACATGTTATCAGGTCCTGAAAAAATGAGGAGAATGGTTGAAATCCTGAGATCTGATGTGGTGCGAGGACTGGGAGTGAAACTTCTTGAGAGGGTGTACAGCATTATGGAAGAAGAAGATGAAATGAAGAGAGAGGTGAATGCTTTACAAATCAGATTTTTAGAATTGTTTGATTTCTTATAAACCACTTTTTAGATATTGAGGTAACAGTGCAAACCTGAGTCCCAGAAAGTGTTGATGTGGTCAGTGGCAGGCAAGGGCCTGAGTGTGTGTTCACATTAAAAAAATTGGTTCTGAATGTAAATGGCATTCAGCTACACATTCTTCAGGATCCAGAGAGCTTTAAAAGTGTCCATGGTCCCTGAGTTTGAGGAAGATGTAAGGGGTGTAAGTATTGACTGTGGTGTTTCTCCATTAATGGTTTCCTTTTAAACTATAACTTTTTGTCTGCATGTTCCTCTCACTTCAAAGTGAGAAATGGTTTAATACCTATTCCTAATAGAGATGAATGAGCAATGTTTGACTTCTCTGATTAAGAACTTTACTACAAAGAAAATACCACATGAGTAGGTACTGCCAGTGAGTATTTCATTTGTGTTTAAAACTGTCAGGTGGGATTTGGAACATCTCTTGCTTTCACACTAAAATGGACTTTTCCCATTTCCCCCCTTCCATCTATGTAATAAAACTTCACCTGCTGCTTTCAGCTGAGTGCTTTGGTTAATGTCCTGATTATTTTTGCTGATATTTCAGTCACTGTTGCTTTTTTCAGTAAGTTTGGTGTTATTTTTTTCTTCCTTGTGCTCTAAACAGCTGCAGTTGCGGGAGCACATGGGAGACAAGTATGTGAGTTACAGTGTGAAGGCACGCCACCTGAAATTCCTTGAAGAAAATGTGGAGTTCTGAGCAGAACCTTTTCCTGAGCAAAGAGGACAAAGCTTTCTATCTTGTCTGATGGATTGGATCAGCTGAAAGAGTGTGTTTCTCCACTGATCTCCTTTGCTGGATAAACTTGCAAAAAACATTCTATTTTGTAGTAATATTTTTCATGTTAAAATGCAGACCAGTCTGTTGCTTTCTCAGAAGAGAAACTTTGTTTAGTTTTTATTCTCTTAATTAAATTTCATTTTTTTCTATAGGGCTGCATACTAAGCTTTGTATAAAAGGAGTGTCCAAAAAAAAAAAAAGTGTGTGAATTTATCATAGCAAAAGGTATATACTATTTGTGGTACCAGAATCCATGCTGAGGCCATGGTGTGATAGATTAAACCCTTATACCAAGTATTTGTATAGAGTTACTGGGGAGGAGCAGCTATTACTTGTGCTGTGGGGGACAGGAGGAGCAGGGAAAGCACAGTTCACCCATGCACAGACAGCTTATTTCAAAGGAAAAAACACAAAACCCAAGGCAGCCTGCATCACATCAGGTTGAGGAAAAAATGGCTGGAGGCAAGAACACAAAGGAAGGGTGTGGATGGACAGAAGTCTGCTTGAAGCTGCAAATGAAAACCCTCCTTGCCTGCTCCAGCCTCCAGATGCCTCTGTACAACAGGTCTGAGGCCTACATGGGGAAGGCCCATCTTGTGGGGCTGTGAACAGTGGAGGGGTTGAGGCACTGGAACAGGTTGCCCAGAGATGTGGTGGTTGCTCTATCCCTGATTTTTAAGGCCAGGCTCCATCAGGCTGTGCCTGATAGATGTCCCTGTTGACTGCAGAGAAGTTGGACTAGATGGCCTTTAAAGGTCCCTTCCAATGCTAAGGATTCTGTGATTCTATGAATTATCAGACACAAGATGGTTCATGAGATTAGGACTCAGAATGGAGTCAGATGTTTGCCCAACCACTTTATTATATAAAGTGGAAAGGAAAGGAAAAGTCTATCAGTGTGAGCAACATGATACAATCATAGAATCCTTAGACCTGGAAGACACCTGGAAGGCCATCTGATGACCACTACGTGCCCTTTGCTGGACCGGTCCTTGATTTTTACTCATAAGCTCTCAACCTGATCGTGGCTGTTCCTCAGACACAGCTCTTTGCAATCTGTCCGCTTCCTAACATAGAGGGCAACTCTGCCACCCCTCCTACTCTGTCTATCCCTTCTGAAAAGCCTGTAGTCCTCAAGCAGGGTATTCCCATCATGGGATTCATCCCACCATGCTTCCATAATAGCAATTAGGTCATACTTTCTCAATTGCACCACGGTTTCTAACTCCTCCTTTTTATTTCCCATTCTGCACTAATTGGTATAGAGGCACATCAGCTTAGTTACTGGCCTTGTTTCCTCCACAGAGGAGCCCTCCCTAATACCTCCAGGACAAGTCTGGGGTTTTCCCTTACTGCCTCCCAAGGTGACAGCATTCCCACACACTTCTCTGTCACCTACTACATCCCCCACCCCCATCATAGCTAATTTAAAGCCCTGCTAACCAGCCCAGCCAACTTGTTCCCAGGAATATTTGTGGCCATTCTAGTCAGTGGGCTCCCATATGCTGTCAGCATCCCCCCTTTCTCAAGGCTGTGTCCCAAGCTGTAGTACCCAAAGCCCTGAGTGCAGCACCACTGGCAAAGCAATTCATTCAGCATGTTCACCCTCGTCCTTTTGTGCTGATCCCAGCCACCAACTGAGAGGACAGAGGTGAACACAACTTGCACTCCAGATCCCTTCAGTCTTCCCAGAGCCCTGAAGTCCCTTTTGATTACCTGAGGACTTCTTTTGCCTACCTCTTCATTTCCAGTGTGGAAAACCAGTAATGGATAATAATCAGAGGGTCTGGTGAGTGATGTTCCTAGCAGCATCTCTCACCTGGGCACCAGGCAGGCAGCACACCTCCCTGCAGGACGGATCCCAGCAGCACATCGGGCCCTCGGTTCCCCTCAGAAGTCTCCTATGGCAACAGCCTTTTTTTTTTTTTTTTCCTGACTGATGTTGTAGCAAAACAGGGAGCAGACTGACCAGCTTTGGGCAACCTCTGCTGCACGGATGGACTTTCACCACCATCCACATCCCCCAGTCCTTCCTGCTCCAGATCCTCACAGCTGTTCTGTAAGGGCACTTGGGAAGGTGGGACAGGCTGAGGGGCAGTCGGCTTGCTGCCCTGAACAGGGACTTGTTTTCATCCCTCGCTGTCTTTGAAGTCGCCCCTTCCCACCTGACCGTGAGACAGCAGACGATCCCCCACCGCTTGAGGAGCATCTCCCCCACCGCCCTCCTGTAGGGATGCAGAGCGCGACTCCACCCATCGACCCCATTCCCACAATCCCGGATGCTCCTCAGCCTTTCTGCTTCCCCCTTTAGCTCTCCCTCCGTGCTGAGCTGATCGCCCAGCTGCTCACACCGCACACAGCTGGGATCGCTGCTGCAGCGCTGACACGGCCGGGCATCCTCTGCAGCTGCGGCACGGACATTCGTGCTTTCAATCCGAGTCTCCACGATCTTTTAGCAGCAGCTCGCCGCCGTGCGGTGACCACGGCTGCAGCTCGCTGTGTCCAGAGGACAACGACCCATTAAGTGAGCCGTTAATTGCTAAGCGCTAATCCTGCTCTATGGCAACGCCCACTTCCCGTCAGCTGCCGCGAGACGCGAGAGCTGCGGGGCTGCTCTGTTCTATCGCGGTTCCGTGCATAAAGGAGCCGACAGAAACCCCTCCGTATGTCGCGATCAGTCCTGACTGGGGCATTTCCGAAGCAGCGAACCTCGGCGATCAAGGATACAGTCCGGTTCTTGGGTTGCTCATAGTGAAGCCCCATCCAACACGCTTGCAGGGCTCCCACACGAGGCCCAGCTGCTGCATTTTGGAGCAGCCTGGAAGGTGACAGGAGCTGAGACACTGCTCTCATCTGCCCGGCTCCTCACAGCCCTGCATAGGCTGAGATGCCTCCAGCTGTCCTTGCATCTTACAGCAATCTTTGAGACAAAAGTACACGTGTCTTTGTATGGCATCACGGGATGCTGCTTTCTCTATCCATGTTAATAAAACTGTCACTGCCATCTCATATCCTACATCAGTTACAAGTTCTTAGGACTTCCCAAAACCGAGCATTATGCACTGCCTTACGTGACCTGCTTCAACCTGGCACTGCTGACAGCTTGTTTTTCTCATGGTTAGAAATACTTCCAAAGAAGCGTAGTTGTATTTCGTCTCCTCAGTTATGGCAGTAGCCCAACTACACTTGATCTGACTGTGGGCAGTGCTCCTTTTTGCTAAAACACTTCAAGGAGAACGTGAACTCACACAGCCTGAAATTCATCACCCCGTGCTGTTTTCCCTATGGTTTCACTTAAACTGCAGCCAGCGGAGGGCCTTCATGCTCTGTGCAGCTCTTAACGAACTCATGACAGCGTGCAAACCAACATGGGGAAAAACTACAGTATTGAGTCAAGCAGCATCTCCCAGGGAAAATATATTAAAGCTTAAAAAAGTTAATTACCACAACGTACCACAACAAAGAACCGTTTTATTTAGCTTTTAGAATGCCTTTTTGGTTTTCTGTCTGCTGGCTTCTTATCCTCTGTGCCCGACTCCTGCACAGGCAGCCACTTGAGGGGGTTGCGGCGGTACATGGGCCAAGGAGGGAGCGTCAGCTTAGAGAACAGGAACAAAATAAAACACGTAAAGCACGGTGTTAAAGAAGTGCACAGCTTCTGAGAGCTGAACTGCAGCACGGACATTCGTGCTTCCTATCTGAGTCTCCACATTCCTTTTAGCAGAGTACCCAGAGAAACACACTGCCGTTTCTATTACCAATAGAATCAGATGAACCTTAACATTTGATTGAAATGGAAAATCAGTTCAGTGTAGGCAGCAGCATGGAATTGCAGCATTCTGTAAAATCTTAAAGTATTGTAATGTAAGTTTAAGTGCAGGGCTGCGTGCCCTACAGCTCAAAGAAAGCAAAGATGTGCTGCACTGTTACCTGAATTAAATGGCAAACATTTGTGCTTGCAGCCCCGTCATTCAGCTGCTGTTTCAGGTTAAATAGTGGATGTAATTTCTGCTTTGGGCACAAGAAAACCCCCTTACCAAACAGGATAATGCAAATCCAGCCATAACTATGTAGACAGTCCATCCAAACTGCTCAGTGACATATCCGAAGATGAAACCAATTACCTGAAACAAACAAACAAACAAACACACACACATGTTCCTGACAGATTTCAAGCACACAGAAAGGCTGCTGAAGCCACGCTTTGCTGGGGGCGTGGAGAATAGTTAAGAATAAATAATGCTGTGGGTTTTTTTTGTTTGAAAGCACTCTTGGTGCACCTTTCTAACCTCGTCTGCAAAACTGAAGACCGATTTCAAAATTTAAAAAATCAGTAAATACGGAACTAAAGCGTGAACACCAAACCAGGCCCAGCAACGAGGAAAAGAACCAAGATCCTAAAATCAGAACAAACCAAAGCAGCCCCTCGTTATCACCGCGCGTACTCACGGCAGAGACAAGAATGATGCCCTGGAAGATCTGTTCCGCTAATTTCTGGCCCTTGTAGTCCTACGGAACAAAGCCTTCGGTCAGCGGATGCACCCCGCCGGGCAGCCGCCGCGGTGCCGACCCGCCCGTACCATCTGCGTGGGGATGGAGCGGAACACGTCCAGCATGGCGGCGGGGCTCGGCTCCTCGTCCTCCTCACTGCTCTGCTCCCGCTGCTCTCCCTGCTCGTCCTCCTCGCCGGCCGCCTCCCGCTCTCCGCCGTCCTCCTCGCTCTCGCCCTCGCTCTCCCCCTCCCCCCGCACGCCAGGCTCCTCCCCGCCGCTCTCAGCACGCACCTCATCCCTACCGCGCATGCGCAGTGGTACCGGAAGGCGCCTCCGCGCGCGGCCGGAAGCGTCCTCCCCGCGCCCCGCCTCTTGCTGCCGCAGGGCGCCGCCATCCCCGCGGGCCTCCGAAGCGTTTCCCGCGCTGTCGGCCCGGTCCCCGCCGTCGTCTGCGGCCCGCTCCTCGGCCTCGGCCCGGTCTCCGCCGTCGGCCGGAGCCCGCTCGCCGGAGCCGCCCCGCTCATCCATCGGTGCCGGCGCGGCGCGGGACGCCGTCTCCACGGCAACGGCGGTAACGGCCTCAGGACCCCTCGGCGAGGACCCTTCGGGCGGCGGGCGCGGGGCGTCCATCGCGGCGCCTGTCCGGACGCGGCGCTGATTGCCGGCCTGCGGGCGGCTCCCGCCCGCCCCGAGGCTGCGGTCCCTGCCGGCCGAGTCCCCTCGGCAACCGCCGGAGCGGCGGGGCCGGGCGCGGCGCGGTTCGGCAGCCCGCGGTCGGCAGGCGGCGCGGCGGGCGGCCCGGTGCCGAGGTGGCAGTTGGCGGATTAGCGGGCCGGGCGGCGGAGCGGAGCCGGGAGTTCGCGGTTCCTCGGCCCGGCGCCCGCCGTCGTAGCGCGGCGGTTCCTCGGAGCCGCTCGGGGCGGTGCGGCCGTTTGTGGCGGGGCGCGGGGCTGCGGAGCACCATGACTCTGAGGAAAGGTGAGCGTGCGCGCGTGCCCGGCTGCAGCTCCGGGGCTGCCGCGTGTCTGCCGGCTCCTCCAGCCTTTCTCCAACCGTTCCCGTCGTCTTTGTGCTTTGAATCCTCAGTGAACGTCTCCATCCTCGTGGCGGCCGTCGTTATTTTCCTGCTCGTTCTGCACCACAACTTCCTGGGACTCAGCGACCTCCTGAAGCGCGAGCTGACAGGTGTGTGTGCGTGTGCCCGTGTGCGTGTGCCCGTGTGCCCCGTGCCCGGGGCTGTGCAGACACCGCAGCTCAGCTCTCCTAACGGGGCTCCGTCCCTGTGCCGCTGCCCTTCCCAGCCCCACAGAGAGCCTCTCCACGTCCCTGTGAAGCCCCTGTGATTCCCCGCTTTCCAGCTCTGTTCCTCACGTTGCTGAGGTGACCCGGAGTTACATGGGCAGCGTTACAAAAGCCTGCTTAGTGAGGAACTCCTACACCTGATGTGGCCCTGCCACATTTCAGCTGCTGTCTGTGGTGTGAGGATAAATTCTTGCTGCTTCAGCTGAGGTAATGGGATCTGTGGTGCTTGGAATAAAACTGCGTGTGACGCCTTGAAGAATCTTGCAGCAATGGTGGTAACTTAGAATTTGGGTTTCTTTTTTTTTCCCATTAGTTTTTACCTCAAATGAAACAAAAGTAGAAAGGGGAAGGTCAGTGTGACTGGTGGGGAGTGGTTGGGGTAACAGCAGGGAGGAAGGAGGGTGGCTGTAGGTGTGGCAAATTGGGACCAGGGGGAGTGTAGCCTGTGGAGCTGCCACGTAGCACCTTGTTGTGCTGTGTGTGAGCATTTAAAGCTGTCACACGCACTTTATTTGCAAGTGGGACGTTTCCAAGTATGTTAACAGCTTGGATTCCCGACAGCAGGGTCTGTTGTGTGTGTGTTTGATGCTGGGCTGCTCTGGTCCACGTTTCTCATCTCAAACATTGAGGCACTTGTGTGATAGAAACAATTGTAGCCACTGGGGGTTTTAGCATGGTAATAATTGCTGTGTTTCACTTATGGAAAACCAGTATGTGCTGCCATTTGTTCTCCACAGATTCCAATCCCTTAGGACTTCAGCCTATTGACTTCATACCTGCTGCTCCCCAGAGGCTGACGGATGAAAGGAATGATAAGGAAATTTCTGTGGTCATTGCAGCCTCAGATGAGAGGCTTGGAGGTGCAATTGCAGCCATGAACAGCATTTACCGTAACACCAGATCCAACGTGGTTTTCTATATTGTTACTTTGAACGACACTGTGGACCACTTGAGGTAATGGTATTTTTCTGTTAGCTTCCCACAATCCTGTAAAACTGAAGTATCTTTGAAAAGAGTTGAATTTGCCTGATACTGCTCTCCTGCATTGCTTGCTGTCCTGTCTGCTGCTGCTCACTGCTTCTTTTTGGCAAAGCTGCAGTGGGGGGTACCAGTTGTTCCTTCTGGTAGTGTTTCAGTGATGGAAAAGAGACATCCAGTGGGTGAGGCTGGAGAGGAGGGCTTGCTTCCTGCATCTCACCTGACCAATTTAAATGCATGCAATCAAGTTTTTCTCTCTCTCTCTCTTCTTCTTCTTTTTTTTTTTTTTTTCATTTTTGCACAGCTCTGTTCACGCTGATGTTTTTTTTTGAAGCACCTGTAGTAACAGGATGATGTATTTATATAATAGAATAAGCAGCAGTCTCATACCTCTCAGATGTCACAGCCATGTAGTGTGCTGGTGGTGGACATTTGAAACGCTCCTGAAGTCTGATGCAATTTGCTCTATACTGCTACGTTTGTTGGGTGGAGAAAAGAGCAGCCAGAACAAGATCTTTTTATTGGATCCGTTGTTTATTGTTTCATTTTTTTCTCTCACTTAATAAAGTCTGTACTCTTCCTGTCTGCAGGCTGTGGCTAACAAACACTGCTCTGAAAAATCTGAGATACCAAATTTTGAATTTTGACCCTCGTGTCTTAGAAGGGAAGGTGCAAGCGGATCCCCAGAAGGCAGACAGCATAAAGCCAGTAAGGATGATGCTGATTTCCTTTTGCGGTTACTACTTAGTGACAGTACACTTTGATTTTAGCCTCCAATGGCTTTAGAACTCAGCTAGCTTTCAAAACCCAAAGAAATATTTTATAATTAAGTTTCTAAATTCCAGTAAGAGTATTTCTCTCAGATAGTACAGGCTGGTTTTGAATATCCCCCTGTTCAATCCTAGTATCTTTGTTACCGATATCTACAGTGAAACACAGCTAATTGTGTGCTAAACATGCCAGAGCCTCTGGGGTACTGCATATATGAAGAGATAAGGAATTCAAATAGAGACTGTTTTTAAAGTTAGTTTATCAATGCTCACAGGAAACCAGGACTAGATGGAACCTGCCCATTTAAACCAATATCTTAGAAATTATTTTGTTTCCTGGATAGAAGTTGTCATGCACACCACTGCCACAGATAAGTGTCTGGAGATTAATTTCACGTGTATTTGAACCATTTTCCATGTAATTTTTTGCTTTTCATGCGTCCACAGTTAACCTTTGCAAGATTCTATTTGCCCAGTTTGGTACCTCATGCAGAAAAGGCCATCTATGTGGATGATGACATAATAGTCCAAGGTATGGGACCATTTCTTACTACAATTTTTGCCACTGGTCTATGCTGGGTTCATTATGCCACCTCTGACAGCAGCCAAGCACTTTTGCTATAAGGAAAGATGTAAAAACTTTGCAAAAACGATTGGATCAAACTTCATGTTTTTATCTGCTGTGGTGATAGACTGAACAAAAGCTCACTCAGAGCTTAAGCAGGGTTGCTTCTAATTTTCTTGTGTGGATTTCCATTTTTCAGATGATATCCTTGAGCTTTACAATACTCCACTGAAACCTGGACATGCAGCTGCTTTTTCAGATGACTGTGACTCTACCACCAATAAGGTTGCTGTCCGTGGAGCAGGGAATCAGGTTGGTTTTATTCTGATTCAGTTGTAACAATACTGCAGACTCCAGGCTTAGGAGGAGGGCGCTTGGCTTTGTTGTTCTTGAAGGCTGACTTCCAAACACAGTGAACCTGACTGTACCTACCCAAATCATGTGGCTCAGGTAATTACACTCTTTCTTTTTCAGTACAATTACATTGGGTTTCTGGATTACAAGAAAGAAACCATCCGAAAGCTTGCGATGAAAGCCAACACCTGCTCTTTCAATCCAGGAGTTTTTGTTGCTAATCTGACAGAATGGAAATTACAAAACATCACTAAGCAGTTGGAGAAGTGGATGACACTTAATGTAGCGTAAGTACCCCTGAGATGGGGCTGAGTGCAGGTCAGGAACCTGAGTGCAGGGTTATGGTGGTGGCATTTAACTGTTAAATAAATGGTGGGCTGTGTATTTATCTGTCGATTCCTGTCATGAGGCTGCAAGTGAAAGTCAGCTGATGTAGGCAATGATCCTTTCCCAACTTCTTTCCCTCTTCTCTTTCAGAGAGGAACTTTACAGCAGAACTCTGGCTGGCAGCATCACTACACCTCCACTGCTCATAGTATTTTACAAGCAGCATTCCAGTATTGATCCCCTGTGGAATGTACGACATCTTGGTATGTATGAAATAGCTGTGATGCTTGGCCAAGGGCCACCACCACCGAGGGTCTGTAGCTGGACCCTTAGTTGATGATACAGGAAATGGATCTTTTCCTTCCGTGTGCTTGTGCTTTAAGAAACACCACCTTATGTTGCTCTTGCATTTTGTGGGCTTAATTCTTCGTGTTCCTCTTTGAGCTGCCAGGCAGGTTGTTCTTCATTTCTCAAATACTTTTTTCCTTTTTATTGGAAGCAGTGTTTCCACATGTACATTAATGTGTTCTAGGTGCCTCCTAGGCTTGTTAAGAGGAACAAGCAGTCATTCTCTGTTCTGCTACTGGTAAAACCATAAATCTGGGAGAGGTCTCTCTGTTTCAAATGAGTAAAATGTATGCTCCTGAATACACACGGGCATTAAAAGGCTTTTAAAGAACTTGGAAGTTAAAGCGGTTCATTTAAATACATGCTAAGGCAGAGCAAAGTGTCCTTCAGCTGCATCCAAATTACTTTCTAATTTGCTGATTTCTGCCTCCCATTCCCAATTAAAAATCTTTGTTTTCAAGTTGACAAATTGCATGGTTTTTCTGCTGCCTTTATTTCAGACACTAACGCTTCTTTCTCAATAAAAGGGTCTAACGCTGGAAAAAGATATTCTCCTCAGTTTGTGAAAGCTGCCAAGCTGCTCCATTGGAACGGACATTTCAAACCGTGGGGAAGAACGGCTTCATACGCTGAGGTGTGGGAGAAGTGGTATGTCCCTGATCCTACAGGCAAGTTCAGCCTGATCCGAAGGCATCCTGAAGCCTATGAAGCAAAGTAAAGTACGTTTTCAATTACTGTCAGCATTTTCTCAGGACACTTGTGGAGCCAAGCAATGGTTTTTTTTTTTTTTACTCAGTTTGTACAACAGAACAGCCCTTACCTCCTGGAGCACAGGGAGATGCACTTACTCAGGTGTAGTGGTGCAGCTCCAAGCTGCACAGTTCCAAAGGAGACTCGCTTTGCTTGTGTGACTGAGGGTGGTGCTCCAGCAGGGAGTGAAGGGGCCCCTCCACACACCAGTGCTTCTGTGAGGGCATTTCTGTCTGTTGTGTGTCCTTCTGCTCTTTACTACGAATCTTCATGGGGAAATTGTTTTGTCAGTTAGAAACAGTTCCAGAAACAAGATGGAACTTCAGCTGGAGTTTGTACTGTGCAGCTGTCGCACAGGAATGTACTGTAATTAAGAGCTGCTTGGAGTTTGTTCTGTTGTTTTCTTAACCTGTGAAATAGTTTCATCAACAGTCCTTTCTTGCATGAAAACTGCTTCCATCCATTTGTGTCAGCATTTCTTGCACAATTCTGCAAAATCAAATCTTGACTCTTGAAGGGTTGCTCAAGTGTTGACTATGCAAAAAGTGGTTTGAACTGCTAGTGCACACAAACATTTTCTGTAACTGGTGGAGAAAATGTCTTAAAAATAAAAGCTAATGTTACATTTTTGACATTAACCTCTGCTACTGGCAGTATGATTTGTGACTTGTTCTGATATCTGAAGTGTGCTTCATTTTTACATAAAAGCAGTGTTAAATACTAATTGAGGTCAGAGCAAATTGATCTCATTTTGGGGAAAACAATCTAAGAACGTGCTAAGTATTTACTTTTGGGATCAAGCTGTGAAACAGGTCTGTATTGTTCACAAGTTCCTCACCATTCTCTGCCAGAAGTTTTTCCTGTTGTGCTCTTCCTGGTCTCATCTTCAAATTTCCCAAGCAAGAGCCTGCTGCCACCTTTCACAGCTTGCAGTCAATCAGCTTTTTTTTTTTTAAAAAAATTGCTGTAGTTTTTGTTTTTTCTTGTTTTTATTTGAATAATAATAGTTGGGAGCAAGGTGTCAAGACTGGCTTGGTGTTTTGTGGGCTGAAAAACAACAGGGACCTCAAGAGTTCAGTTGCATGTATGAATATGTTTTAGTGCCTTGTAAATGAAAACGATTTCCAACTTTTCATCTCACTGACCACAGTTCTGACTGTGTCCTGGGTGCTGGTCCCTGGTTTGTTACTGACCTGTGAAGTTAAATGGTATCTCTTTACCCCAGAAATGGGGTGATGGTAGCCCTTTTTTGCAGGGGCACATCTTTATTGCACAGAGGTACAGGTCTTGCTTTAGTTACCAGTTAGTTATAACTGTACTTCTATCTGTTGTTCAAGAGCTTCCACTCCAGTGAAGTCATTATAGTTATCACACTCACAATTAACCTCTCCTAGTGAAGCTACTGGACATATAAAGCCATGCCTACATAAAATGTTACAGCCAGATGAACTAAGCAGAGTTATTTAACCAGCCTTTACCTTCACAAAACCAGGAATGCTTACTGCCAGAAGGCACTATTGTAGAGATACAGCCTCTGCAACCCTGCAGGAAAAACATTTTGCCTTTTATGAGAATAAAGTTAATTGCTAGAATTAAACATTTACCATTATTTTTTGAAATAAAACACCAGACTTTGTAATTTTTAAATGTTTTTGTAAGCCACAAAGAACAGATCAATGCAGTATAATATTTTTAAAAATATTTTTGTTTATTTTTAAACAGGAATTAATGTGTAGGATTTTAGCATTGTATAACTGTACAAAATCTGCAACCATTGAGAGAGGGGCAATATTATATAAGTTACTGGAGTCCTGACAGCAGCTATGGTATATGGCGTTCCTCCACCTTCTGTAACAGAAACCTCTCTCTGTTCTGAAAGGCAGGAACAGTCTCCAAGCCTTCTCTTCACACATCTCATTACACGTAGTCTGTATTAAAATCATAGGCATCATCTTCACCTGCTGTCTTGTCTAAGCTGAATGGCAGTGAGTTGGCAAGTCCACTTTCTGAGAAAAAGGAATGGTTTGTTAGTGAAATCAGTGCAAGTACTAGAGTACTGCAGGTCGTACTTCATGCTGTGGGTTTTAGCACAGACCTGCTATCTCATTTTCTGAATGTGCACGTTCTGTTTGTCCCACTCCAAGCTCAGCATTCCCAGTCATCTGAGTCCTGCCATCCTACAATGGGTTGAAGAGGTCAGACATATGAGTTTCCTCAGACATCACTAATGAAACTTTCCATGTAAATGAGATACAGAGACTGAGCATAGTGTGGTTGTCCCAGTGCGTAGCTGCTGGTCAGGAACTTGCTGACTGACTTAGATCAACACTGATTTCTTAATTTGCTGATTTCTTAACTAAGCAAGGTGCTCAGCCCTTATTTCTATAGGAAATGTGGTTCTAGAGGCTTTGTGGCTACTCCAGGTGACTCTGCAGTGCCTGCACGTTATTTGTAACAAGATGCTAACCGGCTACTTGGTGTCAGGGCCCAAGCAGGCAGAAAACAAATGAAACCCTGGGTTTACCTCTTTGACATTATTCTCTTCTTTTTCTTCTTCTATACCATCTTGATCATCATCAGTCTCCATGAAATCCTCTTCCTCGTGGCTTGTTTCCAAATCCTCCCACTCTGATTCTTCTTCTACCACCTTATTTTTCACTATTTTCCCATTAGTCATCCCAGCTGATTGGAAAACAATGCTGCTTGCTGGACTGGGGTACTTTAAAGCTGGGAAATATATACACAGCTGTTACATTATTGTTAGCAGGAGATACAATGTCTACCCATTAGAAGGATCACCTTCCCACATAAGCAGGGAGTAAAAGCAAGAACAAAAAGATTGCTAGGATGTAGAACCTGGTCCTGAGTATAAGATGTATTGAGCAGAAACATATTTTGTTGGTCTAACTAGGAAATGGGGGAGGGTAAAGGAAGAAAGGGCCCATAAGCACTGGCTATTTAGAAAGGTTAAATCAGATGAGCAGAAACTGATAACTACTGGGGTAATCTAGCAGGGGTAATTTGTGTTAAGACAGCACTCAAGTCCACTGCTTCGTTGCACTGGAATCCATTGCCTTCTCTAAAGGCTTTTGTCTGCTATTGACAAAGGCATCATACAAACCCCAGGACAACTTTCATTGATGGTCTCCCATTACAGCTGCTACAATGGCTCTTGGTGGTAGCACTGCAGTACCTTGGACTGTGCTGCTGTTTTCTTCTTCCAGCTTCTTTAAATTAAAGCCCCTCTGCATTTCAGCTATTTTGTCTTCTGTCAGGTATGGCGGCCTGATCTGAGATGCTGGTGGTTCTGAGTGGTAGCTTATTTTAGCTCTGCAAAAACCAAAAGATAACAGCTAAATCACCATATTTAATAATAAAACCCGGAGCCCATGCCTTCCAAACTCCTCAACTGAACCACTCATTCAGTATTATTTGTTTAGCAGCAGTTAAATGACTGTTTAAATTGGAGTCAGAAGCTGTCAGTAACAGAATTAAAGATAGCCTGCTCTGAAACACCTGAACCACTTCAGCAAATGAAATGTTCACACCTCATTTGTCACTGATTCTGAATTCATTCCACACTCAGCAGAACACAGGAATCACTAAAGGTTCCAAAAAAAAAAAAAAAAAAAAAAAAAAAAAAAGCTGTTGCAAGATTCCTTCTTGATGGAAAAGAGCACTACAGGAACACTATCTGAGGTCAGGGCAAATTCCCCTACCAAACGTACAGCAGGGGTCAGCAAACTGGCTGCAGAATTCTACGTAGTTTGTTTTACTCTCTGTATATATTGTATTATTTTAGAAAATTATCCCTGGGTGGTGTCTTCTCTTGGCCAATCCAGCCTGATTGCTCAAAATAAAAACAAAAGCAGCCTCTTGTTTCTGGAAGCAGTTCTCAGGACTCAATGTGCTGTGGAGTCACAGCAGATTTAACAATGTCAAAATCAAAAAGGTCAACAGCACAAAACAAAATTAATAACATACATACCCTGTCCAGTCACAAAGTAGTGATTTAGCTATGTTCTCTATGTCAGGAACACCTCCTTTTTTCAGCATACCCCTTTTCTGAGCAAGTAGACTTAGAAGTTCTTCAGTATTCTTGAAATCTGGGATACTGTAGAACATCATTACCTAGTGTAAAAGAAAACAGTGGGAGGAAGCAGTTATCACAGAACTGGAAGGGGACCAGGCTTATGTGAATATATTGAAATTAGAGTGAAATCAGAGTTGGATCTGAAGTCTTCACTGTAATAAGAAGGAATGAAATTATCTTCATTTTTCACTCTATTACATCATTGCCTGGTGATATATTTACAAGCAGGTGGTTTGCTGATGGATTTTTATTTTTTCTTTACATCAGCGAACTCATTGATAAAACAAAGTGGCTGACAGGATCCTGGTGTGTTGCAACCATCTTCCACATACAAGGATAAAGATCACACTCAGCATTGGATACACTAACCAAAATCTGGTTAAGGAGAAAACAGTGCAGAACAACTATGTGAAGTGAAGTGAACTTCTGTTATTGGCCTAAGAAAGCTAGAGAGGAGCTGTGAAAGAATGATGACAGAACTTACCTGCTGCTTATTGCAGTGATTCAGAACAGCATCCACTGCTTTAATCACGTTCACTGAGCACGATTCCCCACTGTGTATGATACTTCTCAGGGCCAGAGTCACAGCACTGTTGGTAGGATCTGCAACTATGCTTGGACTGTCTAAAATCTTCATGTGTTTGTCAATACGCACAACTTGCATGGACCTGGTCAGAGAGAAGCAGGCCACATCTGAAGACAAATCAAACAAAGGACTGATAACAGCAAAGGAAGCAAGCCACAAAGCTCAGCATTGGATTGAATGCACTTCATACAGAGTCAGTTTCAGTGCTTTCTCATCATGTGCTTTGTGCTGGACAGAAATCCAAATGCACAGTAAGAGCAAGTTTATGCACTGTATTCTGTGGCAACTTGCCATGATGAAAGATAATGTTCTGAATGATGCAAATTGAAATATGCATTTAAAACTGAACTTAGGCATACTCTGACTGCTCCTGATGCATGGAAATTGTACACAACCAACTCAAGGTAATCAGAACAGACAGGAAAATAAACAGCTGTTAACACTCAGCTTACTTGGTGACACCTCTGGCTGGCCCAACATCACAAACACGATCTTTCTTAATACTATTGATTATGCTGCTCTTCCCCACATTAGGAAAACCTGGGAAAAAAAGAAAAAAAAGCACAAAAACCCTCATAAATAGGAAAACTCAGCTTTAGTTAACAACTTATCATGTGTTTTTGGTAAACATATATCTTCCATGTGAGATCAGAGTTGGATCTGAAGTCTTCATATAGAACTCAGACAAAGTCTGTATCCTCATTTCTCACATTTGCAATAGAAAGGACGTGAAAGACATCACTGAATGTCACACCACAAACCTCACCAGATGGGAGGAAGAGGCAGTGTAGGCTGTGCAGTATGTAACCTAAAGCTGCTTTATCAGCTAAGGCCTCATAAAATGTGCATTCCATGGGTCACATACACTCTGCATTGAAGTACAAGACAGATCACTATCACCTGAGGTGCTATGAGTCTCAGCTGAAAGTGAGCATACTGCCAAGAAGGTCCAGAAGCGAGTCACACATTGGCTGTTTTACACAGGTTACCAGAGCTCTAATGGGAGGAAAAGGAAACTTCTGCCATCTCTCCAAACTCTTACCTACTAACCCAACCTGAATGGCTTTGTTCTGAGTCCTGCCATACTCCTGAAGAAGTTTCATAAGGCATCCACTTCCAAAACTTTCAGTGTGTCTTGACAAATCAATACGTGTCCTTCTTCTCGAGAAAGTCTCCTGTTACAGGATTCAAAGGAAAAAAAAAACCCAAAACAAACACATTATTGTTACATTTATTCATCTACTGTGACACTTTAAACTCCCGTGCTTCATTAGCTGATGTTACTGTGTCCTTCTTCTAAACAGACGGAATTAGTTCAGTAAGAATTTGGCTAAGATGAATCTAGCAGTTAAGTGATGGTTAAAAAAAAAAAAAAAGTAGCAATCAAACACTTGAAGCAGTGTGAACAAACCTACAGGGCTCCTTCTTTCAGTTCAGACTGTGTTGCAGATGGGCTGTGTGAGCAGGAAGTAACCACGTACATTCATGGAGGGGAGTTCTTTAATCTGTACATTCACTCAATGAACTGTTCAAAAAAAATTGTATCTTTTTTTACTTGACTTTAAAGCTGTTCCCTGCCTTTGGGCTTCTGTGCCATTTCACACGGGGGTCTATTTGACTACACTGTTACCAGCGTTAGGGCAGGTGGAGCACAATGTATCAATACACATTGTCTCAAGCCAGCATCTTCACAAAGCTGAAACTAGAACCGCAGGGAGCTTAACTCCTTGATCATCTTTCATGAAATAACAGCAGCTGCAGCCTTTAGTAACAGTGACAGTCAAGATGAATGCAGTATACACTGCATATGTTTACCTACAACACAACTCCGATGTGCAATCATCCTGTATAGATGAAAAATTCCTCATCTTCCTCCCCTTACTGTCCTGCAAAACAGCCCACTTTCACTCTCCAGTTCAACATCCCATGCACAAAACAATATGTATTTCAACAGCACGTATTCCCCAACTGCACTACAAAGCTCAACATGTGAAAGAACATCCATTAGTTGAAGTAGTATAATCAATCACAGGAAAAATGAATTTTAAAGAACAAGAGATCCTGCTTCAACGTGTTTCAACACATACAACTGCAAACACGTATGATTCAGTCATCTGAGTCAGCACGCAGTGCTCTTACCATATTCCTGTCCTTCAGCAGCGTCGCTGATTTAAAGGCAACTGTTGGAAATTCCTTCTTCAAATAATTCAACCACTTCTCTAAGTTCTCTTTTGGCACTAAATCTGAAAAAAAAAAAAAAAAGAGCACAGTCTTTTCCTTACTGCTGTGAATGTTGTGTTGCTGTCTGGAGAAATCTAAGACAGAATCAGAAACCAGGATGTATTCTGTCCACTTAGTACATTCCTTTACGAAAATTAATGCTTGGCTGAAAACTCCATGGCTTTTGTATTTATTTTTATGTACACTTCCAGTAAACTATTAGTTAAGTTCCCCAAAGCCACCCATGGCTGCAGCTTTTAATGTTTATTTTCTGCCCCAAGTAGAACATACCACAGTTACACTTTCAGACTCTGTGTTTTTAATGTTGGAGTATCACAAGGAGACTCTGCAGGGATGAAGGGTGATGTGGGCTAGTCCACCATCCCTGCAAAAGCTATGCTAACACAAAGTTCCTATTGCTCTTTCACTCTGCATTTCCTTCTTTTTGCACTGCAGATAACTCACTAATAACCAGCTTTCCCAGCTGGTCTCATCTGCTTTTGTGTGGTTTCCTTCATACAGCAATGAGAGCCAAACTTCAAAGACAACTCTTGTGCTGATTTGCTGATGCTTAACTCATCTCAGTGGGTATCAGCATTGCTATCTCTGCTTACTTCATCTTTGTTCACATAAATGTTACTAGATCCCTACTTCTTGCCAAGTTTGGCTGACACTGGCCAGAACTTATCGTAAAAGAAAGGGACTAATGTGCAACTACCTGTCTTAGTGTTGTTTTTTTAGCAAACTAGACTAAAAGGCAGAGGGAACAAGGCCACTTCCCTACGGCAGCGAGCTCAGAGTTGGATCTTATGACTTCAACAAAATCTCAGATTTCTTTACGTATTTCTTCACAGCTCACTTAAAACAGAACCACCCAGTGACTTAAGTAACACTTCAAGAAAACTGGTTTCTTACCAATTTTGTTCAGAACCAACAACAGCTTTTTTTCTCCTCCAGAGCAAGTAATGGCTTGTTCCAGCTGGGGACACCGACAGCCCATTGGATCTCTCGCATCTAAAACCTCCAGAACCACATCTGAGGTCTCAATCACCTACATAAGGGGGGAAAAAAAAAGATTAAAAAAAAAGAAAACTCTCAAATAGGAGATGGCAAACAATTTGACAGATGGTAACTAAGCTGTGGCTTACAACAGTGACTACTGAATTTCACAGAATATTTGGTAGGTGAGGTTTCTTAAGACTGTTTGTTTGAACTCTTATCTTCTGAAAGAGAAATTGAGAGAAAAAGCTGAAAATTGCCACAGGTTTCTGTAGTCAAGAAATCCTTGGACAGGAATATCTCATAACTGAAAGAGCTCTCTGGTCACTATGTACTGACATTGGTCCTAGAAGTGTTTTGCTTCAGAATGCTCGATATCTCAGTAGTCAGCACCAGGCAAGACTGAAACTCTCATGGTTTCTACAGTAATATCACTTACTTCCGTGCTGAAGTTTATCACAAGCAACCTTTACATTTCCTAGTTGTTGCACAGTAATGCAGGAAGGAAAATAACATGGGGATTATAAAAAGGAGGGGAATCAACTTGTTACTTGGGTAGACAGTGATAGGACAAGGGGGAATGGTTTTAAGCTCAAGGAGGGAAGGTTTGGATTGGATGGCAGGGCGAAGTTCTTCACAGAGAGATTGGTGAGGTGCTCGAACTGCTTCCCAGAGAGACTGTGGATGCTGCATCCCTGAAGGTGTTCAAGGCCAGGTTGGATGGGGCAGCCTGGTCTAGTATTAGATAGGGAGGTTGGTGGCCCTGCCTGGAGCAGGCGGTTGGGACTTGATGATCCTTGGGGTCCCTTCAAAACCAAGCTGTTCTATGATTTTAAGTTGTTTCACTGCCTCTCAAAGTACCTAAAATAGTTGAAGCTTCTTACTTTCTCAAGCTCACTGTGAAATGATTTCTTTGCATTTTTATCCAGCGCCTTCTTGGTTTTCTTTGCTTCAGATTTGCCAGAGGATTCCTACATGCAAATAAAGCAAAAAAGAAACGATTTAACTGAGAATTACTGTATTGTATTTGTGTGCACACACAGCCTTAAGACCTAACACAGTACGGGACTTGCAGAGGTGTAATTTTAGGATGACATCTTTGCTTTGTGTGAAGACAATCGGATACCAACCTTTCCCTCAGTTTGTTCCTGGATTGCAGCCGCACTCTTCTTGGCATCGAGCTTCCTCCTCTTCTCGAGTTCTTTCTGCCTGTCGAGCTTCTGCTTCCGCTTGAGTTCTTCGAGCTGATTGCAAACAAGCAAGGGCCAACGGAGGTAACACACGTGTGAGGGAGGGACAGGATATCACCCTTCTGCCCACATTTACTGATTCGTGTTAAGGGATGTCGCTGCAACTCAGTTACACACACACACACGTCCATGCATGCACAACATGCATGCATACATGTACAAACACGCATATGTGCACGCGCACACATGTACACACACACGTGCATGTACATATGTGCACATGTACAGGTGCATGCACACACATGCACAAATGTACACGTGCATGTGCATGCACACACACATGCAAGCACACGTACACACACATACATGCACACACATGTATGCAGACATGTACGCAGACATGCAAGCACACATACATGCACATGTGCACGTACACATGCACACTCATGCACACTCATGCACACTTGCACACATGTGCACACAAACACGCATGCACACCAACACATACACACACACATGCACACGTATACACACGCATATGTGCACACTCACCTGCACACACACAAACACACGTGCATGCACAGGTGCACGTGCACACAAAAGTACACGTACAAACAACACACACACGTACAAACAAGTGTACACGTGCACATGCAGGTGCACGCACACACAGACATGTGCACACACGTACAACACACACATGCACACACATACACGCACATGCATACACACATACACTAGCACATGTGCACATGCACACATGCACACACACACGTACACAGACACACTTACACACACGCTCTCACACACATGTGCACGCAGACACATGCACAAACACGCACACACACGCCGTTACCCGCTGCTTCCTCAGCTCGGCCTCCCTCAGCAGAGCCTCCTTGAACGGCGCCGCTCCAGGCACACCGGGGTCCTTGCGGGGCTTCTTGCGGCCGCGTTTCTTGGCCTCCTTGCGGACCTTGCGGTGGTGCTCCCGGATCTGAGTGCACACACGGGAAGGTCGGCAGAGCCCGAGCAGCGCCGCGCGGCTTCGTGCCCCGCTCCGCCCCGCGGCCCGGCCTCACCTTCTTCTGGATCTTGTACCGCTTGTGGCACGTCAGCCGCTTGCTCGCCTTCCTCAGCTCTGCGGAGCAAAGTAAAGTGAAGCAAAGCAAAGCGACGCCCGTCAGCCCCGCTCAGCCGCCTCCCCCCCGCCCCCCAGCCGCCCGCTCCCGCGCTCCTCACTCGGTCTCTTCATGGCGCCGCGCACGCGGAGCCGCCCGCCCGCCCCTTCCTCCCGCCGGCGGGCGCTGCCGTAAAGCGAGGCGGCGCTTCCTCGCGGAGGTGTCGCGCGGGCCGGGCGCGCTTGGCGGCCGGGCGGGCTTGGCGGCGGCGCGGAGCGGCGGCG